ATAAACTATATCCGACTATAAACTTAAGCAACATACACTTAACAATAGTGATATAAACTATAGCCAAACATACACTTATAATGAAGACATAACCTATATCTAGCTATAAATCATATATGATTATATCCCTTTATAATTAACAAACCAAAGCAAATAACCTACAAACCTTCCGGTTGGCAACTAGATAATGGTTGTGATACATGGAGGGCTCGAATGGTCGAAGGGCGATCGGCGACAAAAAAGAAACCTCGGAATAAATAGACGAAAACAATAGACGGGCGACCGAAGACGAAGGAGAAGTTAGACGGACTGTTGACGACGAAGAAGTACAGAGACAACGGCCGAAGATGAAGGAACACAGACGTCGGCCGGAGACGAAGGAATGGACGGAAACAGAACGATAGAGGAAGAAGAAAAGTCGAAGGAATGAGGTTTTCGAATTTTTTCAATAATGGAGGATTTTGGGAATTTGATATTTTTTACTTTTGGAAAGTCTAATTAAACATAATTTAAGGGAATTAAAATGTAACCTCCCAAGTAATCAATTTTTTATTTTAAAAATTAATTAATATTGAGGTGAGATACAAAAGGATATACTAGTAAATTGGGTGATGTATACATCTTAAATGGTTGTTCCATGACAAAAATGTAAATTTTACACAATTCAATCATTTTATGTAATTATAGCCTCTAAATAGTCTATCAATGTATTAATCTCATTAATATAAGACTTTTTCAAAAGTAATTTATATTGAATATAAATTTCGTTTTCAATTTTAATACTTTTTTAAAAAATACAATTATATAATTAATGTTATTTGAGGTAAAATTCATTTATTATATTATCAAATCATATTCTTGTAAGAAAAAAAATATCAAAGGTAAGCTGATCGTCAAAAAAAAAATGTTGCTTTAAAATAATTTTAAATTTAAAATAATAGATATTATTCATAATAATTCATTCCAAATATTAAAAGTATACCGAGATATTATATAATTTAATTGAAGTTTATTTTACAAGTACATATAATACATAAATATACTTAATTGCTTATTAGTCAATGAGTATATTAATTTATTTAAACTATAAAATTACAAAATAAAATCAAAGGAATTTGATAAAAGAAAATATATGAAAAAATAACGAAGGGGTAAAAATGTCACCATAGGATGCCCTCGACACGGGAATTATAGAAACGTATGTTTCAAAAAGACATCCAAATCGACTCGAATGCCTTCCAAATGGGCATCCTAAGACACCTAGGTATCTCACACTACCACAAAACAAACGTGAGAATCTAGATGCACGTCTCCCGAAAATCTTGAATTATCACGAAACGAATGGCCCCTAAGATCGGTTTGGTTGGCAATCTGGATGCTGTTAATTATTTTCAGATTCGGATTCTCACTCAATCATATGAGTTCCATAGATTCAGATTCTCACTCAATCCAGCGTACCTTAAATAACTCCATTATAAAAAGAGTAATGTAACAGTGATGCAGTGAGTAACAAAATTCAACTTAGATGAAGAGATGGTAGAAATTTTGCTCTAAAATATGCATTGCATTTTGCTTATAAACAGAAGCTTATCATTCGATTATTGTTCCTCAAAAAGATTCATTTTTACTAAGTTTTTATATGATTATTTGTAAATAAACATCAAAATGTAAATGCTTGCATTTCTCTCCTATTTTTATGTCACATCAAAAGATTATATCAAGAAATAGGAAAAGAAAAAATCTACCAATTCTTCTAAATTGAATTCTTCATCTTCCATTGTCGGACCATTGGGTGGAGATTGTTCTGCTTTGGATCAAATCACAAGCAAATATTATCCTAAACCACACAATATAAAAGTTAAATTGATTTTATGATCACTAGAAATTAAATAATATTTAAACAAAAATAAAATTTAATTTAATCGATCAGAACATGATTTTGTGACAATAATCTATAAATAAATCAAATTTAACAGACAAACCATGATTGATTTGGTCGTGTGATTCTCATTTGAAAGAGAATTAAGAAGTGGAATTAGAACCAAATAGCTTTTTATCCCTTTTGGATTATATCTCTTTGTTCTTTTCTCACACCTCAAATTAATAATGTTTTATTGAATTTTGCGTTGGTATTTTTTTTTTCTCTTGTTATATTGAAATAGTAATAAAGTTCTTGTTGATGTCAGATTTGTATTTTTAATGAAAATGGTGGTGCCATTGATGATGAAATAATAATGAATCTTTTTTTTTTACCGGAGAATAAAATGGAAAAAAATGATGGCTAATTACCAAACGTGGAACTTGACAAATGAGGCTAATTAACTAAGATAACTATTTTGTTTTTTTTTCTCCTTTAAAAAAATTCAGCCTACAAACACTACTCCCACCAATATATTTATTTGTTTTGTTATAAAGAATGTTTTAAAAATTAACTAAAGTTAAGTTTTTAAACTAGAGAAGTTAGTTCTAAAAACTTGTTTTGTTTTAGAAATTTAACTATGAATTCAAATGTATTTTTGAGAAGTACATGAAAAACATACCAATAAAATAAGTATAATTTTTAAAACATGAAATGGTTACTAAACTAGACTTAAACTTACCAATGTTTAATCAATTGAGTCACTTTCAAATTAGTACATGATAAATTAAACTTAATAAGATATAAATATAGTTGAGATTAGATATTGTGTTTATTTAGTTTCTAAACTTCTAGATTATGTTTGTAAAAGTAGAGAGATGGCTAGTGTAACCCGAAAATAAATATAAACTTATATGACATAGACATATCTTTGGTCGATAGTCATATAATGAAATAATGGATATTGTGGAATATAAATCTCAAAGATTTTATGAATATTTTCTCCCATTGGTATATAAAAAAAAAAGGAAAAAAAATGGAAAGTGGCAATGGCATAGACTAAAAGTAAATAACAAAAAGATGAAACATAATGAATCTTTTGAAAAGCTAACAAAGAGAAGGTTAATAAGTTGGGAACTGTCCTTCAAAGAAACAAGTGACTGAAAGCAAAGATTTTTGACAAGAAACCATTAACTAAACTTTTCTTTGCTTTGTTCCATTCCAATATCTTATTTTCTGGTCTCAAACTTTTCTTCCATTCAACACATAATATTCTCTTCAAATAATAAAGGTAGAAATGATTATAAAGGAGGATTGGTCCCACACACATTAAAGCTTTTTTTTTTCAAGGAAGAAGAATGTAATATATGTTTGACATAAGAGGGGCAAACCATGGCCCACAAAATAGGAATGCGACGGTGAATGACTTTCACGTTCATATCCTTCGATATTATATAAAAGAAAGAAAACGTAATTCAATTGGTTAAAACATATATTATCAATCGAAATGTCAAGGTTTGAATCCTCATCTCCACATGTTGAGTAAAAAAATATTTTTTGAGTTAGAAGTTTACTTATTATAATTAATTTATTTCTTTTCAATCATAGATCCATTTTTGTTGATTTTTTTATATCAATTTATGCTATCAAACTAAATTCAACGTTAGTTTTTCTGTAAAACAAGGCTTTTCATCACTTACAAATGTAATTTTGAACCCCGCTATTTTTCAGTTTTCAAAATTTAGCTTGGTATCCAAAAACCTTGCGAGAGTAGATTTAAAAATTAATGCAAGTAAAAATGCATGATCTTTATAGAACATCTAAAGGGTCCTTAAAAAAGAATGAATTTGTAGAGTAACCATTTTTGCAATTTCTTTCAAGGTTAATCTAAAAATTAGGCGTATGCATCGTTTCCCGAAGGAGGAATAGCTGAAAAAAGGGTTGTTTTGGGAACAGGGGTGGGCTCATAATTGGCAGTGTCCCACCTCTTTGCAGCCACATTAAATAGAAGGCCCAACTCATTACCTGAATTGGCAAGAAAATAAGTCCGTGCCAAACCAAAGATTACATTTTTCTTTATTGCGGCGGGAGGTCGAACTTACAACCGTACAACGTGTACCATTTTTTTTTAGGTTCAACATAACCAAAGATTACCATTTTAACACACAGTTAGTGCTAGAGGGATTTTAAATTATTGGTTAAAATCTCTTTTTGGTCCTTTCAAGTCTGTGTTTATTATGTTTGAGTATCTATATTTTCAGATGTTTTTATTTTAGTGTCTAATTTCTCATTAAAAAAAAAGATATTAAAGTGTTTGTTAATTTTCAACTAATCATTTAACAAAAAAATAAATCCGGAACTCAACATATGACCCATTCTATGTAACTTCAAACACCTGTTAGATGTTTGTTCTGAAATAAATAAGCTAAATAGTATGTTGAATAATTTATGTATCAACACATTGTATCAAATCTTTGTTGAGTAATTTATGGAGAAATAAACGAACATTAAATAAAATGTCTTTTTCTAAAATCTGCTTTCAAATAAATAATGAAAAACATATATAAAAGAGGTCAGAGATTTGATTATTTGAACCTGTTGGTGGTCGAAGTTTTTTTAGACGAATCTCAAAAAGTTTAAAAACGAAAAGATATAAACCAAATACTAAAAGTTCGATTGATAACCATTTTGTTTTAAAGTTTCTATTTTTGGAAATTAAGCCTATAAACACTACTTTCACTATGATATTTCTTCGTTGTGCTATCTACATTTTA